ATATATATATATATTCACTTGCTCTGAATTTCACCTTCTGCTTACTGCACTGACTCCTCAAATCACAGCGAAAGGTATCTGATCAGCCCATATCTTCTTGCTTCAGATAGAATCCCTCACTACCAGGAGGTACATGTGGCTATTTGCTAGAGTTGACTTCAAGGCACAGTATTTAACTCTTCCTCTTGCAAAATGTCCGACTGATCACTGCAGCTGGGAATTTGGTTCTGACCACGTAAAAGCGAGGGACTCTCTGATGCTTTAAACTCTTCCCTTCCCCTCTCCCCTGTACAAAGAGCCCTGGATGGGGTTTGGGTTTATGTCAACAGGACCTCACAGGATCAGGTCTCCTTGCCTGTCTGGTTTGGCAATCCCATTGCTGCACTCTGCTGGTGCAAAATAGAACCCACACGCTTTCCTCACCCAAAGCTGCTCCCCACCAGCATCTCCAGCCTCAGAGACTGCTTTTACTCTTGTAGGCAGCTGAGTTGATCACCATTGAAAGGAAAATGCAGACTGACGACACATTTTAGGAAGGAGTTAAGTATTTTATATATGCAGCCGCCAAATGTGCAAATCAGTCCATACACAAACTGGTGGTACTTTTAAAGCAGCCTCAGGTTTACTGTAAATACCCAGCAGTTCACCTTTCCCCTTGGAAGCCCAGGGGACTTCTAGCATGTTTCCCTACCCAGGGCTAAGCCAGTATTAGCCTTGTGAGTGCAGAAAAACTGCTGCTGCAACCTGTCCTGTCTGTCTGATCACCCTGTAGGCAAAGTCCTCGGAGGAAATGGGCCACTGGCTGGGCCTCCTCTTGTCGGAGTCAGGTTCGAAAACAGACCCAGAGGAATTCACCTACGATTACGTGGATGCTGACAGAGTTTCCTGCATTGTGAGCGCCGCCAAGAATTCCTTCTTGTATGTCAGTGGTAATGGGTTGGGGCTGCATGGGGCTGGTGGAGGGGAAGCAAGCTGGAACAGAGGTCTCTCCACTTGTGGGAGGTTGGCTGCCATGGGAGTAGGTGGTAAATTCACAGCTGCAACTCAGTTGCTTTCTTTAGAAGCTTAGTGTGGGACAGGAGAGCACTTACTGTTACACCATGGTGCAGCAAGCCTGAGCTGCAGCTTGCCACCGGGCTAGGGACACCTGCCCAGGTGGCTTTGGCAAAGGTTGGTGGGGTGGCTTGGCTGAGGAATGCAGGACTCTGGACACTCAGCCACCTGGTTCACCATTCCACTGGGGCAGGGTGGTTGTGCTGCTGTGGCCAGGGGCTGGGAGAGAAAGGAAAGAGCCAAGGAGGAATGTAGCTCCACACTGGTGGGTGCTGCTTAATGGGCAACAGGAGCAGTGATCACACTGCTTGTATGGCCCTACCTTTTCATCTCCTGCATCTAGCTGCATCACCCTGCCCAGGCCTCGAGGCTGCTGTGCTAAGATGCCCCAAAATGCAGCACTGCATAGCCATACAGCAAGTCTGATCTCTCCTGATGGCTGATTGATCCTGCTGCCTGTTCACAGGTTGATGCAGAGGAAGTACTCTGAGCCCAATGCCTACATTGACAACCTTCCCAAGGGCAGGATGGAGCAGGAGGAGCTGTATGATGATGTGGATCTGCCAGACCTACCTGCGGTAAGAAGTCCAGTGCTGCAGGCAGATGCCTGGTGCAGTAAGCTCTGTGGGGTCCATGGCCAAACATCTGGCCACAGGGAGTCTCCAGCAGTGAAAGGGGAGGTTTTTTCCCAGCAGTGATGAAGGAGATTCCCAGCTCCTGGGGAAATCTTGGCTTTTGCAATGAAGCAGAAGCAAATGCTGGAGAGGAGTTGCAAAGGAATGGGAGAGAGGTTTCCAGAAAGATGCTGAGGAGATCCTCAGGCAGCTGGGATAAAATCCCCCAGTGTCCATCAGCAAACAGTATGGATTATTTAGTGATAGGTAATGGGTTGTTTGGAGCCCAATCTTTCAAAGTTTGTTTTGTTCCCTGTAAGAGCAAGTCCTGTGTGTAGGGACAGGAACAATGGGTCATGCTGGGAATTGGGACTGTTATCCCAGGAAAGGCAAAGAATCTGGCAGGGGTTGCCAGATGTACAACAGTGTGAGATCCTTGCATGGGGCTGCTATCATCAGAGAAACCTGTTGTAGGAGAGCAGGAAGCCTTGCCTTCTGTACACTAAAACACCCTGTATGGAATGACTTTGAGAATGGGCTTTTAGTTCTTCTAAGGTTTTTAGAAAATACTCAACATTGCCTGAGAAGCTGCTGCTCTGCAGTGAGATGTTTCTTGTACTTCTGTTGGCAGCAGATGGTACCTTTTCAGGGGAATATTCTTCTTTTGCAGGAAGAAGTACCCAAGAGTGAGAGCAAAGCTGAGGGGGACCAAGACAGAGTGTATCTGGATCTCACCCCAGTAAAGTCCTTCCTACATTGTGCTGGCAGGATGTCATGCCAGTCTTCACCCCTCAGCTCACCGTCTTTAGAAAGGGCTGCCAAGAAGGCTGGCACAGAGAACACAGCTGAGACAGCCCTCACAGCTAAGGAGGAAGCTGAGCCCTGTAGTAAAGCAGTGGAGACCTCAGAGCAGGTACTGTCCAAATTGTGGTGTGGGGCCAGGCTTAATAAACAAGCCAGTTCCCCCCCACCACATCATCCCACTTTTTTTTCCTCAAAAATTCCCACATCATCCCACTTCCTTTTCTCCCGCAGAAACACCCAGAGAACCCAGAGCCTGAGGAGGCACAGCCACAGGTGCCTGCCATCAAAATACAGACCCAGCAGCAGAACATTGCCTTCCCCCAGCCAGCCCCTGAGGTGCCAGTGGGCACAGTGGTGGCAAGAAGTCCCCAGCTGGTGCCTGCACACCGTCCCAAGATGCCACTGCCAGGTGACCCTCATTTGTTTTGTTTCCCAGCACTTGAAAAGGTTTTCCTTCCTGCTTTTGCCCCTGGCTGAGCTTGTTTTGGTGGGCTATATTTCCAGCAGCAGCAGTGGAAACCAAGCTGGGCAAGAACAGGACAGAGGCAGAGGTGAAGCGATTCACAGAGGAGAAGGAACGGCTGGAGAAGGAGAAGGATGAAATCCGGGCTCAGCTCACCCAGCTACGCAAGGAGAGACGGGAGCTGAAGGAAATGCTTGGGGGCAGCACAGGTAGAGCAGGGCAAGGTGTGGTGTGTGGAAATGAGCCAAGGGGGGACTGTGGGGAAAGAGGAGGCAATGAACCTTGTCCACCTGGGACCAGAAGGGGCAGGGTGGGAATGTGGGGTTTTGAGCTGAACCACATAGCCCAGGTTGCACTAGAACAAGAGCTTGCTCTACCATAGTCCCTCTTGGGACAAAACATAAGGCAAGTGTACAGGACATGCCCTGGCTCCTGCTCCCCTCATGAGCTCCCTAAGTTCCCAGCAGGCACCAAGATTCCCCTCCTCTTCACAGACAAGAACCTGGAGCAGCGACTGAAAGAGATAGATGAAGAATGCAAAAGGAAGGAGAGCCAGAGGGTGGACCTGGAGCTGAGCCTGGTGGAGGTGAAGGAGAACCTGAAGAAGGCAGAGTCTGGCCCCGTGACACTGGGCACTGCAGTGGACACCACACACTTGGAGAATGCAGCCCCAAGGGTATGTGGGGAGCACCCCTGGGATCCACAGCAGCTTTCTGGCAGCTAGGCAGTCACACTATCTCAGCCTGCTTAATATTAACAACATCATCATTATAATATGTAATGCTGCATAAGTGTATAGCTTATATGTAGGTATTATCTAAGTATTATGATTATTATATTATATAATATACGTAATGTAGTAATTATCCAATGAGGCAACAGCAGCAAGGGAGAAGTGAAAGGTGGCTGGGGCTCAGGAGAGTGGCTGTGTTTTCCTGTGGGACCTTGAACAACACCCTCCAGGGTCATGCAGGTCTGGACCCACTCCTTCTGCACTCTCCCCTACCTAAGCCAAGGCATGGTTTTTGTAGGAGGAGATTCAGGCATCTAAATTCCTTCTTGGGAGCTTGGTTCCTGTGAAACAGAGACACTCACCACCTGAACCCTGTTCTTTACCTCTGCTTGCATTCTCAACACCCAACACACCACACACACACACACACACACACATCCTCGTGGTCTTTTGAAATTGGCATGTCACTGAAAAATGCATTTCAGTGTAAATAGGATGAGACTTTGACTAGGAGATGGTGGGAAAAGGCAGCAATCTCTCTTGGTAGTCTGTAGTCATCACCATTTCTGTGATTTTTATTGTAGGTTCAGGCAAAAAGTGCCAGTCCAGCAAACAGCACAGAGAACTCGCCAGTCAATTCAGCAACGGCTTTAAAAAACCGACCTTTGTCAGTCATGGTGACAGGGAAGGGAACAGTCCTACAGAAAGCTAAGGTAACGTGTCAGTTGGTGCAGGAGAAGAATCCATCTGGGACAGCCACTGGTTCTACCTCCTAGCTCTGGAGCAGACTGGCTGTGGTGGGATGGGGTGGGGTTTCATGTCCCGGAAACACTCCTGACTGAGCACCATTCAGAGCATGTCAGCCTGATTTTCCTCTAGTCTTTTCACCTGGGTTTACCTTGCCTTCAATTTAAATGAATAAATACGGGTACTGTTTATACCAGAGAGATATCCCTGACCCACCCTGCAGCCAAAGCCACTCATGTACCAGCTGATCCTGTGTACATTACAGCTACTGTCACTTGCCAGATTTGCATATTGACTGATTTGCCTTTATTCCTTGGCAGGAATGGGAGAAGAAGGGAGCTAGTTAGAAGCATGTTTTTCAGAGATGGACTAAAGGCTCGAATTGCCCATGCATGGCCCAGGGGATTCAAACATCTGAAGGTGGAGGTTGGGTGTACAACACAACCATACACCAAGCACCTCCTCCACCTCACGCCAACTGCTCTGACGCAGCAACGGAGTCAACAGCTGCTGACACGAGTTATCCCAAATGATCTTGCTCTTTCCAGACAAATCCCAATCATGTAGCTGAAACAATAACAAGCAGTGGCAATCCTTCCATCAAAGTCCTAACCTGGCTGATGTAAACAAGAATGTTACTGTACATAGGGTTGTTTTGTGTATTTCTACTCTGAAGTTATTAAGGTTTCTATATTAGTGACAGTAGTGGGTTCAGAAGGGGCCTCTGCTATTCTCTGTGGCCTGGTGGGTTTCAAACTGTCCTGGTAAATTGCAGTCAACTAAAAGCACACCTGTCTTGCTGCCAGTTATCACTCAGCTGCATTTCATCCAGCCTTCAGTCAAGGGTGATGCCCACACCTGAGTGATGCTTGAAACATGAATGAAAAGCACACAGCAGCTGGTCCAGGGCATTTTTAATCAGTGTCCTGATGCACCCCAGCATTTACTTACTCTTACCAGCTGCAGATTTGCCAGAATATCAAGCCGCTCACCTTCTTGTGCTGTAAGCTGTGTTACAGACTGCCAGCACCAAGAGCTCTGGGCAAAGAAGATCTGCCAAGCAGATTCAGTTAATTTTCTTGAAGATCTTGGTCTACTTCACCTGAGGAGTTTGTTCTGAAAAAAAGCCCAAACCATATTTGAAGGCCTGCTCAGCTGTTGAATGGGAAAGCTGGATCCCAGTGTATCCTTCAGGGCTTGCCTTTTCCCAGGAGAAGGGAGGTAAATCTGTCCCCATGCTCCTTCCCAAGGTGTGGTGGTCTCTGGTCCTCCCAGAGCCACAGCTGTCCAATCTGCTGAAGACATCCCTCCCTGCAGGCAGGGCTGAGCAGCCTGCCCTGAAGTAAGGTTGCACCACCCTATTTCTGGTCTGGCCATCTTGGTGCTGTCATCCTTATGAAACTATTAAACTCAGTACTGCCTTTGGGCCCTGCCAGCAGCATTAGTGGCATCTAATGAAAGATGTTGAATATTTGGGACTGCTAAACTTAGAGACATTGAAATTTGAAGGGTTCAAGAGGGTTAGTAGAAATTTATGCACCCTTTCCTCCTTGTAACCTGCTGTCATGTCTGATGGCCTAGAGACACCTCTACCTGTCTTCTCTGATGGTCCTTTAGCCCTGGAGCCCAGGCACAATAACTAGGTTGACTGTACATAGGCTGGAACTGTTTTCCAGCCCTACAAAGTTAAAGCAGCACTGGTTTCCTGGCTGGGCTGTTCCTGGGGTTCTGTGGCTACACCAATGAGCAGCACCCAGAACCAGGACAAAGAGAGACAGGGGAAATATTGTACCTTAACTCAACCTTGAAAACCTTTGAGAGGCCTGAGACAACCTGTAAAGGGATGTTCCCTCTTCACACAAATGCCAAACAGGTGGAGGGATGCACAGGCTGTGACATCCAGAGCTGGTGATGGCACTGGGGTGAGTGCCAATGTGCTGACAAGGGATTCTGGGCTTGCTGGCCACCACCGTGGAGCCAGGGTGCAACAAACTACTTGGTCAGGGTATCCTGGAAGCAAGGAAGGTGACCTTGCTCCCATGTTTTTAAATTTAAAAGTCTCCACTGCAGTGCAGATGGAGAAATTGCTAATCTCAGGCCTCAGGAGGAGTACATCAGCCCCAGGTGTCACGTTGTCCCTGTGCAAGGTTTTGCACATAGGAAAAATTCATGCAAATAAACCACTGAATCTTCTGGTTGAGTACTCTGGGGATTTCCCTCTCCAAAGCACAAGAAGGCCACAGACCATGAAGCTTTTGTTCTGCCCCATGATAAGCTGTCAAGAGACCCTGTCCACACCCAGAATACACGTGTAGTACCGTGCCCTCACCATACACCCTGCTGTCATCCTCCAGAAGTTGTCCAGACATTTCACAGAGGTACTGAGACAGCGATGGACGAGAGCAGCTCTGCTTTCCCCTCCACAGCCCAGTCAGCTTCAGTGGTCCTGCTGCGATGTCTTCATCAGGGGATGGTAAACATAGGCAAGTCCTGAACAACACACTTTCCCCAAACAAGAAATGTTAAACAATGTCTCTGTGTTCCCATTGTTTTCCTAACTCAAGGCATTTCCTTTGTTGTAACTGTGACCTACAAAGTGGCGCTTTAGAGGGTTTTATAATAAAATGTTGAGTATATTATGTTAGCGTTGTTTTCCTTAGTAATGGTGCTTGTCCCTGCTCCACTTTCCAGTAGATTTCAAGTATATCACACCCCCAGCACTATTAGTTCCTACGAAACTCCTTAGCTATGCAGTCTACAACTGCAATGGACTACAGCTTAAACAACTAAGTACTCTATAGTGACCGCAGCATCAACTAAAACAATTTTTGCAGAGCAAATACACTTAAAACCAGCAGTAAATCTGACAATTTGTGTGAATACATGTAACAGATTTCTGCCTGTATCGCTGTACCTCTCTTTATACTGAGCCAGCAGTGAAAAATGCTTCCACTACCTTCCTGTGGCCACTAGATAGCAACTGTGTGCAGGCTTAGTGCCTGCTGCAGTCTCAGAGGGGAAAACCAGGATGGGCTGGAAAGGAAGGAAAAAAGTTAGTAAAGAAAGCAGCTGAGGTCAGTCTTTATAGAACGGACACCAAGCCAGACGTGTCTGTGAATTATTTTCAACTAAAACACAAGTGCCAGAATTTAAAGGGGGGAAAAACACCCAACTTATTGATGGAGAAGTTGGCCTAAATGTTTCTGTAAGTTGTCTCAGGTATGAATCAAATTAATTTACTTCTGTTGAAAAGAGTAAGATTGCAGGTGTTTCCAAGCTGAAGAAGTTTTAAGGGAAGCATCAGCAGATATCTTACAGGCTGTCCCCAGCTTTGGTACCCAGGGAGGTACAAGCACCATATGCATTTACTTACCACAAACAGGCATGATTTTGCTCGCTGAGGGAAGGTAAGGCTAAAGGGGATGAAATTCATGGCACTTACTTAAAAGCCAGTTTCTTAAAGGAGAAACAGGCTCTCTCCTGAGGTCGGCACATGGCCCACGACCAGGCAAAACTCATTCAGCAATCCTACAGAGCGAGACTAATTCACAGCTCCATAAGTAACAGCAGCCCAGACACCTAATGATGACCTGGCACACATGGTAACCTCTGCACTCTCCTGATGCCAGACAGGATTAGTGCTGCCTTTGCAGGGACCCAACATCCTTGGTGCCTGTGCCAGCCTCAAAGATTGACCCAGCCTTAAGGGAATGAGCTCCCATCAGGTAAAGTCTCATTAAGTATTTCTGACTGAATCAAAGCAAGTCTGTGGGAGTGAATTTAATAAGGGATCATGTCAGGGATCCAAGCCACTTACCCACTTACTCTTTCTTAATTAAAATTTCAAGAGAAAGGGCCTAGAAATTATCTTTAATTCAAGTTTTTAAAAGGAAAAAGAAAAGAGCTCCAACAACTGCTCAGCAGTGTCCTGCTTGCCTGTGGGAGCAGCAGGTCTTTCCAAGACCATCCTGTATATCCTAATCTCTGTAATCAGCCTGACTTTTCCCATCTCCTCCCAATGCCCCACCACTTAATGCCTTGCGAAGTGCTTTGTCCCATACAACAGGTGACCTTGTTGGTGCTGCCACTACCAGAGCATGTCAGAGCATCTATCTGAGGCTTCAGCAATCAGCCACATTCGGGAGGAAGGTTACAGTCACAGCACATGTAAATCCCTGACCCATGGGGATCCCTGGGGCACTCTGGGGATCCTTGGGGACTGAGGACTGAGACCTCAGCCAGATATACCCAGGGCCCAAGGACTGGGTTTAGGAACCAGCTTTCCTGAACTGCACCATGAGTTTTTCAATCTTTCATACCATCCCTACTTGAGAAACTGATTCACAGATCTGGTTGTATATCATCTCATCCAGCATTACAATATTGTCTCCAGCATGAGATTTTGCAGCCTGTGATACCCAAATCTCACAGAGAGGTTTGTGTAGCTGTGCTTAAAACCAGCAGGATGGTAACAACATGGGGTTTCCCCAGCTCAGGACTCAGACAAGCATAAAGTCCACACATGCTAAAAACATATCTACTAGCAATGCATTAAAACAAAGAGACCTCACAAAGAATTACACCACATCACATTTAGCAGGAGGCAAAGTGCTCATCAACACTGTATAAACTGGCCTGCAGGCAACACAAGGAAAAGGCTTTAAGCACTCGTATAAGTCCAGGAAAGCACATCCCAGCTCCAGAGCTGCATGCCAGACATGGTAAATATGCTTCTGTTTGATCCTGCAGAGGACAAATGCTTGTAAGGAGTGAACTAATGATGCTATCAGACAAACGATGGCAGACAAACCCCCAGGGGAGCTACAGAACCCACTGGGGCAACAGGGGTGAGAAGTGAGGTCTCTCAGACCCTTCACACAACAGAGGATGCACAGGGAGGCCAGGGAGACTTTTCAGAGCAGTCTGGCTGGAATCCAGCCAGCTCCACAGGCACCTTTGTGCCATGAAAAACAAACGATGTCTTTGGTGTCAGCTGTGAGTCTCATCTAGCCCATTCTCCCCACAAGAAGAGAAGACCGATGGTTTAACAGCAGAGGCAATGCTGATCTTACAGCCATGCCTAAGTAACATTAATAGATTAGGTTCTCTTTGTATCCCAAATGTCAGTCCTTCAACTAAGCCTCTATTCTGCTGTGCCTTAGGACACAGACAATCTACTAAAGTGACAGTGAAAAGAAAGAGGAAATTCTCCTTTCCCCTAGCCTGGTTTCTCCCACAAGGCACGACAGTGATGTTCCTGTCTCAGTGCCAGCTTTCATCCCTGAGAGTGCTTTCAGACCATTCTTCTTTTGACAACAAACCTGCAGAGCAATTTGTGTCTCGCTTTGTCCATCTAATGTTACTATTCAAACATAGGGCCAGGACATCTGGGTGAAGGGATTTTTCTTCTAGGAACAATAGATGCTATTCTCACAAGCACTGGCAGTCACAGTTAACATCTCCCTGTCATGGCCCTGCCCAGACCTGTTCCTGCTCTCCTGAGGTGACAGACACCATGAGAAAGGCAGCAGAGAACAACCCAATGCTGGGAACTGTGGGCTCTGGGGGAGCAGTTATGCAAATTTTACAGCTTTGTGGCAAATTGATATAATGATGCAGAGGTTGATGCTCCAAGGGATGCAGGCAGGTGGCCAAACTGTCTTTGGAGATGTGAACCATCACA